TTTCTAAGTTCCTTCCACAGGAAAGTCCTGTGTGCACTCCATTCCAAACCCAGTGTAGAGTTTGGAATGGGGAGGTTTTACTTTGCTCCAGCCATTAAGTGGCTGTAATTAATGACTGCTTTTGTTCTGTTTCTATTTCCTGAGCTTGCTGTTTAAAAGTTTTAGGTTGGCCTTCAGGATGCACATGCTTCTTTCTTAGAATGTTTCAAGTTCTTACTTTCACACTGAGCGTGGAAAGGCCTGCACTTGGCTTTTCTAGGGCCAAGGGTATTCTAACAGTTTAGTTCCTTTTACTGGGAAGTTCAAATATTCTAAAATTTGAACAGGGGCCCTGATGAGTGCTACTATTACTCTCCAGGGGGGCTTTTTACTTCAAAAATTTCATGACTGCCTAACTTCAGATACCCATGTTATAATAACCAAATTGGCCGATGGCCACCAAAGGGAAAATACCCTGATTCCTGGGGTCTCCCTGACTTCAGATTCTCGGATCTGAGGAGCAAACTTATGTTACAATAACCTAATTGGCCGATGGCCACCAAAGGGAAAAGACCCTGATTCCTGGGGTCTCCCTAATGTCAGATTCTTGGATCTGAGGAACAACCTTATCTTACAAACCACCAAACCAATCTCGGTCAGGGGCCACCGAGCAAAAGGGAGAAGACCCTGACTTCAGGGGCTTCAAAGTCCATGTGGGACGCTGGTATGCAGCTTCTCACACACAAACATAATTTTCAGGGGTCATTTGGGGGGGACGTGGGGGGACGCCATCCCCCCGGGTGAGGTGCGGGAGGGCGGGGCCTGGAGCTCCCTGCTGGTGCCTGCTGGAGGTCGCCACCGGCTGTGGGGAGGACACACTTCCGGTGATGTCAGGGGGTGTGGCATATACTAATGAGTTATGCTAATGAGTCCCCCTAGCTCTTTTTCTACGAAATGACCCCTGATAATTTTAACAACACAATCTAAAGGGATTAGAGAGCATTTACACGTTTAGCTTCTGGTGTCCAAGTATTCTAAAACTTGAACAGTCAGACCAGTGAGGACTCTACGGCTCACTGGCAGGTTCTCTGGCTTATTTATTACTGAAAGGGGATTTTTAAAATTTTTTGCAGGCTCCCTTGATCCAACGGCTTGTTTTTGCATCAAAACAAGCAAAACACGTGCTGCTGTGAAACTGAAAGATGGCGTGGGGAGTGTAGTGCGGGGGAGGAAAGCCTAACACCCTACACTGCACTCTCTGAACCCACCCTAGATAGCCCAAGAGTTGGCCCAGGAATGGCCATAGGAGGGGGTTAAAAAGGGAATAGCCAACCCAGAATAGAGTGCTCCCTAGAGCCACACACTCAGATATAAACCGATCACACAAACCTAAGCTGGGTTTTCTTGGGAAAACGTCCTCCTACGTCTGCCTGCCTGAAAAACATGTGTGTCGACTCACATTTTTCAGACATGCAGGGTCTGCCTGCATTCTCCACCATTTTGTTAGCCAAATTGCTCTATTATTTAATAAAGATGGGGGAATTATAATTATTAATATGCAATTGGCTTATCTGTAGGATCTGACCTGTGTATACCAGAATTACAATTCCGAAGAACCCAGGAGCAGACACAGAAACTGGGTGGCTAAAATAATGATTTCTTTACTAAACATTCTCAAGCATACAAACAATATTCAAACACTCACACACACAATATAGAACTATAAGGAAGCAGAGGTGATTGATAGCTTATAGAGGGGTGATACAACCTGTCCAGATGTGCAGGGGTCCATGAAGAAAGGATTGTGGCCTAAACTCAGAGAGTTCAGGGGTGGACTGCCATTTTGGATTATGGCAGAAAAAACCCGGTCTGAGGCCATGTTTACGCTGGGATATACCCTATGGAAGACAATGCAGACCAATGGGCGGCCCTGGGGGCTGGTCTCAGGTGAGAACAATAGATTTCCTGGACCAATGATGAGTCCCAGGGGTGTGTGGCATCAGGATGGGCAAGGCCTAAATGTGACCAATAAGCTTCCAGAGAGGCAGGGTCTGGATTGAACAATAGAAGCCAGGTGTTGGGCCAGGTATCTGACCATTAATGGTCCTGGCCAGGGTAAACAAAAGGTGGGAGACGTCCCTGATTAGCATCAGGAAGGATCATTAATAATTTGAATGCTTTTTAAAAAAACAACAACAATTTTATTAGGATATATTAGTAAATCAATCATACATCACTCTACTAACTATCATATATCCTTTTTTTATAATCCTCCTAATTCCCCACCCCTTTGACTTTCCACAGTGCTCCAACCTCCAGCCCATATCTTATAGTCCTCTCTTTCCCCCTTCCTTGATAAACAAAGTCTACCCATAACATATCTTTTAACTATTGTTCTTATACATTTAAACTTCTTATAAAGTAATTCTATTTTCAATATTTCTATTTTCAATAATTATCAAAGCAAAGTAAATTGTTTTTTACATCCCAATATTTCTCTAAATACTCTTTAAAGTCTTTCCAGTCTGCAAAAAATTCTTCTGCATCCAGGTTTTGAAGCTTTCTTGTCATTTTGTCCATTTTAACCATAAAAAGTAGTTTTTTTATCCACTCCCCAATTTAGGGAGTCCTTTCCTGTTTCCAGCTTTGAGCATACGTCATTCTAGAAGTTGTGATCATATACCACATCAAAGTTCGTTACGCCATGTTAACTTCTTCCATTTTAAGTAATTTGAATGCTTGATTGGTTTATGGTATCTTGAGGGACAGAGTAGAAAAGACAAGTATTCAGACAAAAAATTAAATAGACTTTAGAAATGTAGATACATTACCTGCTAGAACTCATTGTTATTCCATAAGCATAATCTCAGCTGGGTGGAGGGGGAAGACTGGAGGCTTGCTCTGAGGTTGCCTGTCACCTGAAAATGGAGACCCCTTTTTCTGAGCTGTGGCTAGCTCTGTGTTTTAGAACCAAGAGTGCCTTCCTTGGCCTGAGTTTTGTGGGTCTCTGGGTCAGGTTAGAAGTGGGGTGCCCTTGCTATTGTGGCTACCCAAGAGTAAAAGGCAGCGCCTCTGGCAACATCATACAACGAATTTCATTCCGTTAATGAGCATCTCTGAAGTGGTCTGGCCATTTCAAACAACATCACACTTCCCCCCCTCCCCTTTTTCACCATGCGATCTTCCTTGAACTTTTTTTAATGTTCTAAGTTCAGCACTGTGTATATATACATACGTACATACATACATACATACATACATACACACACAATATATCACTTCTCAATGAATCTCAATACATACATACAATACATACAATGAATACATACATACATACATACATACATACATACATACATACATACATACATACATACATACATACATACATACATACATACATACATACACACACAATATATCACTTCTCAATGAATCTCAATGGTGCCACTGTAGTACTGAAGTGGTATATTGGTCTAGTGCTATAGCACTCAACTTAGAACATTAAAACAAGTTTGAGGAAGATCACGCAGCAAAAAAGGGTGGGGGGAAGTGCAGTGCTATTGGAAGCGCTGCAGACATTTTAAACAGCACACTACAGCTCTTCAGTAAAGAAGTGAAAACAGAAGAAAACAGTTTACCTCAAGAACGGTTCAACCACGCTTTGCTAACCAGATGCAAGTGGCTTTGTATGAAAATCTATTAACAGCAAGTTGCTAAAATGGTTGTGTCTGAAACGACACAAAAAATCCAGTAAACTGGCTATCAAAACAGATTAGACAGGCTGTCTGAAAGGGGCCCCTATTTGTCCACCTTTCATCACCCACACAGGGGCCATCCAATTTACTATTAGATATTATGGATGAAGTTAGGGTAAGCAGATAAATTGGTTGGACTGGCATGTGGTTTAGAACAGATGATTATTTCATTTAACACCAATCATTGCCCCTTAATTTTACACTAGCAAAAAGTCCGGATGGGAAGTGTGCCTGTGGTGACAGGAAGTATACATGGACTGTATGTGTGTGTATGTGTGTGCGTGTGTGCACGTGCATGTTGTAGTGCCATTCTGTACATTTTATGTAGACAAACACACAATCAAAAGCCTATGGAGGCCAGATATCTCACCATTTGTAATGGGGTGCAAGTTTTTTATTCCCATTCTGATCTTGGTTCTTTCTTATACAATTAGATTATAGTCATTACCTTATAAAGTAGAAAGTTTGGGGATACTTTTGTCGTGTTGGTTAAACAGCTCATTGGCATATTAGGCCATACCCCCATGTTACCAGAAGTGTGCTCATCCAGCCACACCCACCTTTTGCTTCTTATTCTGCTTACCTTGTTTGCTTCTTATTCTGCTTACCCAGGGCTTTTTTGTAGCAGGAACTCCTTTGCATGTTAGGCCACACACCCCTAATGTAGCCAATCCTAATGAGTTTCTGCTGTTTGTTGTTGTTGTTGTTGTTCAGTCGCACAGTCGAGTCCGACTCTTTGCGACCCCATGGACCAGCTCCCGCCAGGCCCTCCGGTCCTCCGCCGCCCTCCGAAGCCTGCTCAACTTCATGCTCGTTGCATCTATGACACTGTTTCTGCTGTTGGGTGTGGCCTATTATGCTAATGAGTTCCTGCTAGGCGTGGACAACTTGGAAGCCAGCCGGAACTCCGTTCCGGTGCGTTCCTGCCCAAAAATAGCCCTGACTGAACCTAACTTTGGGGTTTCTTGTACTGAGTGAAACAAATTTGAAAGAGTAAAAAAAAAAAGAGTGTTTGGACATTAAAAGCGGGGAGGGACACCTTCTATATATAACCGAATACCCAGCAGTTTTCCCTGGTATTCCTTAAAGGCAATACATTCCCAATAATGTTTGTAATGCACTTTAATGGAATTTTAAAAAGAAAGAACTAATATCCTAATTGTAGTCCTACTCCTCCAAGAATGTCCCTTGATGTTAACCATCAGTACTAAAAATACTGCAGAAAATGGTAAGCTATAACCTTGTTACATTGTGTTTTTGCAGACGGTATTTTGGTGAGAAGATTGGCTTGTACTTTGCCTGGTTAGGCTGGTACACAGGAATGCTCTTTCCAGCTGCTTTCATTGGACTGTTTGTCTTTTTATATGGAGTCGCCACACTGAAGCACTGCCAAGTCAGGTAAAGTACAAACAATGCTGTAGAAAAGAGCAAGATTCCAGTAGCACCTTAAAGACTAACAAAATATGTGGCAGGGTATGAGCTTTTGTGAGTCCCTGCTACCTTCTACACACAGTGACTCATGAAATCTCAGATGTTGCCACATATTTTGTTAGTCTTTAAGGTGCTACTGGAATCTTGCTCTTTTCTACTGCTACAGACAGACTGATATGGCTACCCATTTTGATCTAGAAACATTGCTATTAGTTAATAATTTCTCTCATTAATTTCCAAGACTGCTGCATGTATTTTGGTGCCTGTTTGGTGTAGTGGTTAAGAGCAGCAGACTCTAACCTGGAGAACCGGGTTTGATTCCCCACTCCTCCACATGCAGCCAGCTGGGTGATCTGGGGTCAGTCACAGTTCTCTCAGAGCTCTCTCAGGGTGTTTGTTGTGGGGGAGAGGAAGGGAACGAGATTGTAAGCCGCTCTGAGACTGAATGAAGGGCGGGGTATAAATCCAACTCTTCTTCTTCTGCTGTTGTGAAAGCTAGTTGCAGATTCTTCTTTTGAGTACACTTCCATTTCTCTCTCTTAATTACTGTCACAAACAGAACCAGATTATGTCCAGCTGTTCTTTATAAACACCCAAGACAATGGGCGATTCTGCATCTGGCATTCGCTCCACGTTTTCTCAACACTGAGGGAAAGGTGTAGCTCAAAACCACATTCAAATACCTCGGGGCAATGCTGTACTGACTGCAAAGTCATCCCTGAATGGCCATACATCTATGCCAGAAGGTACCATAAAACCCGATGATCAAAGAAAGTGAAAGTGGCATGCAGTGTAGAAGGTAACATAAATTCCAATGATCAAAGAAAGTGAAAGCAGCATGCAATGCAGAAGGGAATTTCTGTTCCAACGTGGGTTTTGTAAAACAACAGAGGGAAAAGCCAATGCAGAATTGCCCAATATGTATTATGAGCTATTGAGAACAGGAAGAGCTTTGTTAAAAAGCTGTACTACTCTGACACCTGTCACATCTTCCATCCTTTCCCAGTAGGGTTGCCAGGTTCCCCTTGGCCACCAGTGGGAGATGGGGGGGGGGGGGGGGGGCCGAAGGCAGTCAGGAAACTCCTGGAGATATGGGAATGGAGGCTGGGGAGGGCAGGGACCTCAGTGGGGTACAACAAAACAGAGTTCACTCTCCAAAGCATCCACTTTCTCCAGGGGAACAGATCTCTGTAGTCTGGAGATAAACCGTAATTCTGAGGGATCCCCAAGTGCCACCTGGAGGCTGCCATCCCTGTTTTCCAGTTACTTTCTCTACTTGGTTCCATGTTATGTCCTTGCATAATTCGTTTTCCCCTTCTCCTGTCGTGCCCCAGCAATATAATGCGGGCAGCCAGTATGATTCTTGTACCTACCAGAAAAAGAAATCTGTCAAAGAGTTCCAGCACATTAACTTCAAGGCTAAGCATCTTGTGACTGGCTCTCATGTTCAGATTTATCTCCTTACTAATCAAGTGGTGACTTGAACATTGTAAATGATTCAACCCAGATCAAACCCTTCATATGTTATTAAATACAATACTTTATAGTGATGTGTTTGTTCACATAGTTGCAAGTCATTAAATGATGAATAATCAAGTGACAAACACATATACAGGAAAAAAATTTACATGCCTGAGGTAAACATGTCACGTTCCAGGATTTTACTGTTTACTGGAAGACAGGCAAGACTTTCTGCTCCAGCCACTTTATATTATGAAAGTAATTTATTAATTTTTATCTCTTATCTTTTCCAGTAAAGAAGTCTGCCAAGCTACAGACATTATCATGTGTCCTATATGTGATAAATACTGCCCCTTCATGAAGTTGTCAGATAGCTGTGTTTATGCCAAGGTAAAAATTCAAAATGTCTTTTGAACAGTCATTTGTGTTTTCGTGTATCATGAGAAAATATTGTTTGCTTTTTCAAGACTTCCAGGGGCATTAAATGTAATTCAGGTGCAAATGACATTGTCTAAGGACTTGCAAGTGCTGCAGGAGTATTAAGAATATAGCACCAAGCACACTAATGTAGTAAAAATGTTTGTTTGGTAGGTGTGTTTATAATTAGAAGTTAAGTTCAGAGGGTAAATGCTACAGTGGAATAGACTCCCAGAGATAGGATGTGATGGTATTTTTTTGAAATTTTGAAATTTCAAAGAGTTCATATCTCACAATTCCCCATAAAAACATCAACACCATTAAATCTTACCACCTCCCTGTGTCAGTCATCCATGCCATATCTGTTTTCTTGGTCACATCCTCCTTTCATCTCTCTTTTAAAAGGACAATGGCCCTTTAAAACTAGTAGAATGTTGCTTTTTCTGCAGTTAGGAAGGGTCAGGATGATCTGGGGTGTCTTGTTCACTTTAAAAAATCAAGCTAAGCGGGTGGCAGCAAGAGAGTGGGCAGTATCTGGCACCTACAGTTGCATGGCCCTAGGGAAACAAAATCCTCCGTATAAATGGGATCGCTTCCACAGTCTTTCTGGGTATTTTTCTTCAGTTACATAATGTGAAAATGCCCCCTTACTTGCTTCAGCACACCACATTTTTCTTTTTAATAAACTACAAAATAGCCCCTGGGCTATCAGTAAAAATGTGGCAGAGAACTTGCTTGCTTACTGATGGGACAACTATCAGTATGGTGAAAACTTTCCGTCAGAAGTGCTGACATTCCTACATGTTAAACACGTCTTGCAAGTTAAGCAGATTTCCGGAGCAGAATATACACCTCACTTTTTTTCAAAAAGCTTTACAATTTAAAACAAATGGTTACGCTGGTTTTCTTTCTACAGGTAACAAATCTTTTTGACAATGGAGCTACAGTCTTTTTTGCTGTTTTCATGGCAGTGTGGGGTAAGTCCTGATCTGAGGTTAGAACATGTTGACACTTTTTCAAATTCCAGATTTTTCTCCCAACCTAGGGGTTTTTTTTGTTTCTGTGCCATTTTGTTTTTTTTCTTCATTTTGCCTTGGTGCGGACCCCCTTTCTGAACAACACACTGTATTTAATGACTGTTTTGCACATTTGCAGAGGCAAGCCAAAATTTGTCATCAAGCTTCCACATTATAGTTGCCAATTGCAGGTTGGGAAATTCCTGGAAATCTGGGGATGGAACCTAGTGAGGCAGGGGTTGGTAAGGGGCCTCAATGGGGTATAATGCTATAGAGTTAACCCTCCAAAACAGTCATTTTCTCCAGGGGAACTCGTGTTTGGAGTCTGGAGATCAGTTGTAATTCCCCCTAGAGGCTGGCAACACTAAGCCTCCTCTCCTGTCTCACCCTGTTCCTCCTCCTCCCACCTGGCCTCATAACTCATCTGCAAGAGAATGATAATCTGATTTTTTAACCCAGTCCACAGTTTGAGAACCATTGTGCTAAACTACAGAAGGAGACAGGATCAGGGAGTTTTTTCTTTCAACTCTAAATCTGCTTCATAGTTGTTAGGATAGACTTTTGAGGTGGCATAAAAACTTCCTAAATAAGTAAACCTTTTTCACATTTGTAGGTCACAATTCCTAATAACAGTTATTTTAAAAAGTTCCCAATGTGTTCATGCAATTGATAGCCCAAATCTATTCATTTAATGAATAAATATATGCAAGTTAACTACAGATTTCTAATGTACTTGTGCTCAGTCAATCTGTGCTCGCTCAATTATGCTCAGCCAATACAGTCCATAATCATTTTAATAAATTAGAGCTGCATCCTGAAAATGTAGTGAAATCACATTTTCTGATAATGAAGCTATGACTCGTTCTTTAAAAATACATCCTGCTGAGATGAAATGTTCTGCGGAGTTTGTACAAACCTGCCCGTAGGGATGAACACAGTCAAATCCTTTCTTGAGCAATTTACAGACTCTGTGTTTAGTTCAGGAATAATCTTAGATCTGTAAAAGTTAGTCATTGCACATTTCCTTTGTGTATTTATAATTCCCTAAAGGGGGGAAAATGCTATTGCAAAGAAGCCAAGACAGCATTCCTCCTTCCACCTACGTCTATGAATTTAGAATTCCACTTTAGATAAATACATTTGGTTAGAAATCTTTTAATGTGGTGTTACTGAGTGTGGTCAGAAGACATATCTCCCCTAGATATATGTCTGCATGAATATGGCCCACTTCCCCATATAAGCCCAGATTCACTTTGAAATATCTTGATCATAAAGAAACTACTCCTCTTCTGCTGCCTCTCGGTCCAAGCCTAAGGAGCTCTTGGCTTAAGTTCTAGAAAGTTACCAACCCAACAGTAATAAGGAATGGCTACTAGCCATGGTGACTGAGGGGAACCTTTACAGAGGCACTAAACCTCTGAATCCCAGAGCCAGGAGGCAACATCAGGGGAAAGCCTTGACCTCTGTGCCCTGTCGTTGGACCTCCAGAGGAACTGGGTGGCTACTATGTGAGACAGGATGCTGGACTAGATGGACAATTGGTCTGATCCAGCAGGGCTCTTCTTATGTTCTTAATGGATTATGTCTACAGCTTGAGGCCTGGCTACAAGGTTGGAAAGAACACTGAGATCTGGATAGAATGAAAACTGGAAATACAGCTTAGGAAGGAGAATAATAACAAAGATCTAGGCTGGAGAATTAGAACTCTGAAACAGTCAAAGCAATACTGAACAACATCAATACCAAATTCTAGAAGCTCACTAAAAGAGCCAGTCATTCCACACCTGCAGATTTTATGCATTACTCAAGAGGGAAAGCAAGAGGACAAAGAGATAGAGCAAGAAAGGCGGCAGGAAGACTATAGCTACCAATCCTTTGAAGGCCTAAGCTCCAGTGCAGCGATCCAAGCATCTAGGCAGCAAATAAGCTAAAAGATGAAGACAAGCAAGGACATGTGTTGTGTGTCAGTAGGCATCCATGGGGAAAGGATTCTGTCCCCAGCTAGTGTCACATCACAAACACAAAATATTATTTTTTTTGCTTGGGAAAGGGGCAGAGGTGGGGTCTCATTTATGTAGTGTGGCTAGGCAAGGGGAAAAAGAGGGTCATGCAGAGTCCTGGGAATAATTCCAAATAAAGTAGGAGAATGAGGAAAGATGAAGAATGGATGTGTATTTGGGAGGCAGTCTTGTTCTAAGCCTTGTCAGAATTGGAGTTTTAGGACAACTTCTCCAAAACAGGAAACTTAATAGAGGCTTATCCATCTATACTGTGTCTAGTTATGGTGACAGGGACTGATACTGGCTAATTAATCAATGGGTTAATGGTGTGAATGCCGGCTACTAAGTGAGATGAAGGTTCTTGTGGTGACCCACTGGTGTGATAGAATTAGGTGCTGTCCTGATTTCTCCCCTGGCTCTCTGCCTTTTGTTCCGATAATCACTGGAGATCTGTCTGATATAAAACATGAAGATATACTGGTTACAACACCAAGATGGGTGTGACAGTGGATAAATAAGAACAAAATGGAGGTGTGTTATAATTAGTGGTATCCTTGCTAATCTTCAAGAACAATGTGCATACTTCTGGACTGGAAAGAGGGAGTGAATACCCATCAAAGGATTTCTTTTGTTTAAAAATTAACGTTTTACATAGGGCAATAAATTCACTCTCTTAAGCTTCATTCATATTTGAGAAGTGGTTTTCTGAAAGGCCTTATCAATATAGTTTGATCATCAGAAGAAAACGATATAGTATTTGGTAGTATTGTGATAATAAGTAGCACATTTTCTTTCCACAGTGTAATGTTACATTTATTCTTCTTTCCGTTTCTTTGCTGTAGCAACTGTTTTCCTTGAATTTTGGAAGAGAAGACGAGCAGTAATTGGCTATGACTGGGATTTGATAGACTGGGAAGAGGAGGAGGTATGTGTGGATATGTAGCAGGTTTTTTCTGCTATACCAGGAAGAAGTTGTAGTGAGGGTACCTGCAAAACAGCCCTTCAGTCTTCAGGGCAGGGGGAGAATTTCTCAGCAAGTAATCCCTGACCCTTTCTGTTTACTGACCTCCTGACACAGTAAGTGAACACAGATCCTAACAATAAAGTAATTGGCAGCTATGCTACACATTACAGAGTAACATAGGTTCAGTCTGGGGTTGTGACACTGTCCTGTGAAAACAGCTAGACCGAGGGCTGAAAGTAAGCCTCTGTATAACCACAGGGAATGGAAGAATCCTTTCAGCCATTTTCTGTCAAAAAGACTCCAAGTCAAGAGAAAGTGGGGATGCTTTTAAAATATTTGTATTTGGTCAGATTGTGCCCCATATGTCTGAAAAAGCCTCAACATTAGCAGTTCAATAAAACAAAGGTGCTGGAATAGATATATTTGGAGTGTGCGCTCCAGTGTTTGATACACATTTTGCACATCTGGGTAGCAAATATACATTGCCCCTGTTAAATATGTACAATTGGTAAGTGGCTGGAAGGTAGATCCTTTGGTGTAGTCGTTCAGAGCGGTGGAGTCTAATCTGGAGAACTGGGTTTGATTCCCCACTCCTCCACAAGCAGCTGCTGGGTGACCTTGGCTCAGTCACAAGTTCTCTCAGAGCTGTTCTCTCTGAGCTCTCTCAGCCCCACCTATCTCACAGGGTGTCTGTTGTGGGGAGAGAAAGGGGAGGAGATTGTAAGCTGCTCTGAGACTCCAAGTGATGGGCGAGGTATAAATCCAACTCCTCTTCTGCTCCTAAATCCCACTGATTTCACTGGCCAAATAAAGCACGTGCTTATCTCTCTGGCTGAAATCAATGAGGGTAGCTGGATTTGCACTATAATATTTTGGAACTAGTTATGTGTGGCACAAAAGACCTGGTGCAAATACACTGTTACAATTGGATGGGTTTGTCCCCATAGGGCATACCAGTTGCAGACTATTGCTATAGCATAATGATAGTGCAATTCCCAGCAACATATAGATGCAGAAACTGCAACATATTGATGCAGATACTGTGCTCAGAGCCCTGCAGTGCTGACAAGCAGGTTTCTCATCTAATTTTAACAAGTGTGCCCTATATTCAGCTGTTGAGGCTATGAAAGGGTGGCCTACGAGAGAGTTTGTGCAGAGGTTGCAAGACTGTCACTTGGTTCAGTTACAAAACAACACAGCATCAAGTAGCTATGGAGGTTTCCCTTCTGGGTCAGGAATACCTTCCTCGGTCAATAAGGGCTCTCTTGGTAGAAGTAGAACAGGAAACAAATCTCTACCAAGCAATCTCTTTTTCATCAGACCTAGATAAAGAGATTATGCATGTTTATTCAACTTCTATTAACTACTACCATCTGCTGTCAGCCCTGGAGCCTAACCAGACTTAGCATATTGAAGAATTTGTTGCTGCCATTTTCTGAATTGTCCTGTTTGCACACATCTTTAAATACCCTTCTGCATGAAAAGCAAATAAGGCAAGAGCTGATTTACCTCAGAGTGTAATGCCATGACTGCAAATACTGCTTTGTGCAACAGATAACGTCTCCAGGATCACCACCAAAGCTACTCTGTCCTATGCCCAGTGCAGGGAGGCAGTGACAGCTGGGATCCTTTGTCTTTTAGAAGGGTTTCTGCTACTGCCAGAAGCAGAAGAATTTCTAGAGCTCTAAATTCCCTTCCTAAGGAGCATACCGTTCCCCCCACCCCAAGGTTGAGAACCGATTGCTGTAGGAATTCCTTTCACAGAGTTTCTGCTAGTTATCCTGCAGATATTTTGACATACTACTAACTGCTTTCCTGGTTTAACTTAAATTGCATACTACTAAAGATTAATTGGCAAAAATGATGAAAAGTTGATGTTTGTCTAATTCTACTTTGAAACTGTCTGTTTATTCTTTAGGAAGAAATACGCCCCCAGTTTGAAGCCAAATACTCCAAGAAAGAGCGAATGAATCCCATATCTGGAAAACCAGAGCCTTATCAAGCATTTGCAGATAAATGCAGCAGGATTATTGTTTCTGCATCTGGAATATTTTTTATGGTTTGAATTTTTTTTATTCCTTTCAAGATGTTTTAAAATTAGACTGGATTAGTTGGAAAAAATGTGGAGTTTGTATCTTAATTTTGTAGTAGTGTTAAATTGTTCCTTCTTTTTAAGATGGTTTATGTCACAATATTATAAGTGCCCACTCACTCTACTACACACTTCCTGAATCACATTTGCTTGATAGTAAGTTCCACTGATCTGAACAAGACTAACCTACATGCTTGGAGGAAAGCAAATGGTACAATCCTCCGGGGACTGTACCACTTCAGAATACAGGTACAGGATTCCACAGTTGAATGATCAGCGGTGTCAAAAGTCTCTTGCCCACAGAAAGCTATGAGAGTTCTTCAGAATGTTTCTTGCCTAGCCTTAGTGCAGATTGATAGTATAATTAATCCACGTCACAGTGGGGCAATAGACATGGTAGGAACAGGGGTATAGTGCCCCACTTAGAGCACTACGTATTTTATTTAGGACATCAGCTTACATTTGAAGGATGGAAGTTTGTTTCCATTGACATTTCTGGATGAAAACACAGCCACTGTGATTGTGATCATGGCAAAGTATTGGAAAAAGGTATTAGAGGTAACTTGAAGCAGGAAGGCCAGCTGTTTGGAGGCTGGACTCCTCCAGCTCTGATGTCACTGCTGCCACCTTCAAAGTGGCTGAGGACCGTCTGGCCCTCCTTGGAACTCTTGCCATTCCATAAAGTGAGAAAGGCTCTGGCTACAGCCCTATGTAAGCGCATACTGGAGTCCTCCAGGCATGCCTTGTGAAGCCAAATGGCCCTTCTGAGCCGGTTCAGAAATAGATTGACTTGGAGCAATCCTGATGCAAAATCTGGGTCCGCTGAAACTTTTACAGAGCAGACGCAAGTAGATTCACTTGTCTGTACTTGCAGCTGGGAAATGTTCCTAGGAATCTAAACATCTACAGAAGCAATTCTTCCAGATAAATAGGTTTCCCTGCTTTTGAATATACGAATGTGTAGAAAATCATACTGTCTGAAATGCCCTAGATGCCAAACAAACAAACTTAAGGATTTGTGTGTAAACTGTGTACATGAGTTTAAATAATATGTAATCTTCCTCAGGACAGGCAATAAACTGAATTTAAATTAAAGACAGTTTGCCTGATGTTGGTAGAGAATATATTTCATAATTGTTTAAATTTGAAAAGCTAGGCCAACATTTTCTGAAATATTAATAGTTACCATGTCCAGGGGCAGGGGAATTCCAGGGTTGAGCATCCACTGCAGAGCTGCTGTCCTTCAAAGAAGCACTGCTTCCTCAGCATCTGATTGGTTTCATCCTAGGACAACTCAGAGGGAGGTGGGGGTGGGATTTTACTGCAGAAATGACAGTTTCTGCTTTCTAGTGAGAGCGGAGCAGCCAAGGGGCATGCATGGCCAGAAAGCAAGCCAAGGAGATGGTATCTGGCTTCCCTCCACTGGCAGCACTGGGAAGAGGAGGAGAAAACAATACCTGAGAACACCCCTCCCCTCTGCATTCTGACACCTTGCGTCAACAGAGATTAGACCGGTAGAGGGGCAAGCTAACAACACACTTCAAGCCCTATATATCAATAAGAATTACTGTTAAATAGTTGAAATTCACGCCCCCTCCATTTGGTAAATAGTCTTCAGTCTTAAAAGTCTTAAAGCAGAACATTTCCTTTTAAGGGAAGAGAATGAACTTTTCAAATTACTGTGTAATAGCAGTCATAACAATAATTATTAACCAGTTTTCTGCAGTTTATATGGTGAAAGCAACTTATTAGTGCCACTCAAAAGAATAGAGGCCAGAGGGCTTTCTTGCTTGCTTTGTCTGTTTCTGTCTTGTTCTTCTGTGGAATGAAACTTGGCAAACCATACTTGGCTTTCATTGCTTTGTCTCACATATTGACAGTGATAACACTTTCCATTTAAGGTCCCTAACCACTTTGCAAACATCATACCCTTCAGTCTACAGGGACTGTTTTTATGATGGTGACTGTGGCTTAGATCTCTTTAGACCCCATTTGAGATTTGAGTTCTTCTTGTGTCATCATACATCAGTGTTAATTGACTTCTTTGAGAAGGACGGATCATTGTGGCATCTTTTCAAGAGATTTGATGTACTCAGCATAAAGCCTCGTTTCATCAGAAAAGCATATGCTTTTCTGTAAGCCCATCCTTAATCAGAAAAGCAATTAAGCAACTCTTGGCTTAATTGCTTTGCTGAAACAGAGCCTGGTTGAACCTTTCAGAGAAACAGTATGGAGAAAGTCTACAAGGCTATAAGCTTTGTTGGGGGCAGAACGAGAAATCTGCAGGGGCTTTTTCAGTGTTGACAAACCATCTCAGCTACTTCAGAAGATAAATTCTGAAACTTCCCTGATTGACTTTTTAATTACATATGTATCCCCTTCTTGCATGAGGGTTTCCTACTACTTATTATAAAAGCTACACCATTAAGCAGAGTTATCTAATTATGCTAGATAGCCTTGTGGATCCCAATATCAGTTTTTTCCACATCCATTTGAATAGATTCCTAGGCAGAATAAATCTGAGTAGAAAAACATGAAATCTAGTAATAAAGATGATTATGGTAGATTTTGCAAATATGATTATGAAGAAGAAGAAGAGATTGGATTTATACCCCGCCCTTCACTACCCAAAGGTGTCTCAGGGCAGCTTACAAACTCCTTTCCCTTCCCCTCCCCACACCAGACACCCTGTGAGGTAGGTGGGGCTGAGAGCGCTCTGACAGAAACTGCTCTTTTTCAAGAACGGCTCTTATCAGAACTACGGCTTGCCCAAGGTCATGCAGCCAGGTGCAAGTGGAGGAGTGAGGAATCAAACCCGTTTCTCCCAGATTAGAGTCCGCGCACTTAACCACTACACCAAACTGGCTCTCATTATGGTAGATTTTGCATTAATCATTGCTCCTCCCTGGACATTGCCTTGATAGCTTGTTGAGTAGACATGAAATTGTCTGGGTTCATTTAACTGGATTTTTGTACCCCTGATCTGGACAAGATGAAAAAAATCCACATAGAGGATACTGACAGAAGCAGAAAGGCTCACTTTCAGTGATTATATTACTTACCTGTCTATGTAGCTACAACACAACAGGTAGGGAAGGGAACAAAGGGAACCAAGCAGTCAAAGAGAAAGTGCAGACCAAACCAGAGGGAAATCTCCCAGATTCAGTTTATGGGACTACACATGCTGCAAGCAGAGTGTATATAGTGCTATTTATTTATGTTAGAGAATTTTTATACCACCTCTCTGGGGAACCTACTCAAGGTGGCTTAGTACTATCAGTATGTATGCCCTTTAAAGAAGGGAGACCTACAAAATGGCTCACCAATACCATGCTGTCAGTCAGCACAGAGATCAAATTGAGAAGCGTGGAAGCCAGACACCAGTTGTCTACACACTGAACACACTTCCAGGACAGCAATGTCCTCAGTGTATCTCTGTCCTTCAGGTTGTCCCTTGTTTTTAAGAAGTTAGTTATGTCACCATATATTTAAGTTCTTGTGGGTTTGCCTTTCTGTCAGTTTGAGGTGTATGTGCTTCATTAGCACATTCAGAACTGGTTCTCATGGTTATCTAGCAAGTAAGTTCTCTCCATATCAGTTTTGTTACCATCAGGCTGGCTGTGCCCCACTTCACCTGCCTTCTGGTTTAGCCTGGAGAATTTTTGGGGTTCATGCATGTATAACCCGCCCCTTTTCAGTTTGCATCTTTTTTCGTTGCTGATTATTTATATGAATGGCTTGGTTCAAATAGTATATAAACAGGAATGTTGATGTGATTATACAATAAAATGTTATTTAGTCAATGCATACAGAGAGAGAGAGAGGGTAAGGAAGGCGGGAGGGGATGCAGACTACAGACTGAGGCAAACTCTGCATGGACAGCAATCTGAACAAAATCCAAATATAAAATGGGGTAATGACAAATTGCTAATGCTAGCTTTGGTGCTTCTCTGAAAAGAGGAGGTAATTCAGGAAACCAACTGCATGGGAAAATGTGACTGGGAGAATTATGTGAGCGTCTCTATAATTCTAGAACTTCCCATGGCATGGCGGCCACTACTCACAACAAATTGTAGTTGCAGATCACTTGCAAATTGACTTCTTCCACTGATTCCAAAAGGGTGCAAAAAGCCCCTCTTGGGCTGCGATCACACGCACCTTTAGATCCGACATAGGTGCAAATGCCTGATGGATCTAAAGGGAGCTATCAGACAGCAACATCTGGGAAGCGTCCTGCAGTTGTTGGCAACCTGTGCTGCTCCGCCACAGAAGCGGAGTTAAAAGACACCGGGGAAAGTCTGGCTGTAACGGGTTCCAATGGGACATGGATGGACTTTGCCCTGACGCGAGCATACTCTCATGCTGTTGGAATGGTCTGATCATGCCATCCCAGCTTGGTGCTGTTTCCCCCCCACACACACAGTATGTGCATCATTGCATACTCCATAGGGGGCCCTCAGTGCAGAGGTACAATTCCTTATTTATGTGCATGGGAAACAAACAGCCAGCCCGCCCCCCTCGACTCAGCCACAGTTGCATCTGATCACAATGATGGGTTGTGCCCGCAGCTACAAAGGGAGGTGTGATCTCGCAACTGCATGTTAAATTCCTCTGTAGGAAATAGCCTCGCTTCCCCTCCACTCCAACTGGCGCGTGTGACCGCAGCCTTGGAGTTTCGTGTAAAAAGTTTTACATTTGCTGTTAGATATGCAGCCCAAGAGATTAGAAGATGATGCAAGTAGTGGCTGCTATGCAGGATGCAGTCATAAGATCTGGCTCTCAGTCCCCACAAGGCAGGCCAATGTTTAAGCCATTGCAAGACAATCAGAACAACATAGGCTTATAGCCTTTCACGTGAATGTTTGGGTGGCTAGATTGAATTCTTGAGAACTGTGGAGGAATTTATCACTACTGGATAACTTTTGTGTTACTTCCCTATTCTTTCCCTGTAGATCTGTGTGGTGATTGCTGCTGTTTTTGGCATTGTTATTTACCGGGTCGTGACAGTCAGCACTTTTGCTGCCTTTAAGTGGGCTTTAATCAGGAATAACTCTCAGGTTGCAACGACGGGGACTGCAGTCTGCATCAACTTTTGCATCATCATGCTATTGAATGTCGTAAGTGAAGATAACTGCCTTTACACATTTCAGTCAGTTATGATGTGATTGTGACTCATTGGTTTTCTCCAATAGGAAACAGAAGTCCCCTTTAGAATTAGAATAATATTTTTAAACAAAAAAAAATAATATTAAAAAAAAGAATTATTTAGAACTCCCAGATTTTATCAGACCAAATTCTAATGGTGGCAGGATTATCCAGTTGCAGTCATTAAAATTAAAGACAAAATGAGTTTTTAGAAAGATTGATTATTTAGAGCTGGAGATTGTAAAACCTAATTATTTGTTTGGTTCTGTAGTCTACAAGATTGTAAAGAAGAGGAAAGAGGAATAATTTTTATTAAAAAAAGAAAATAACATATTTTAGTGTCAAACAATAGCTTTTTTAAAAAATGTATTTTTTAAAAAAATTATTACTAACTATAAAGTGTTCCTGTCTACAGATGCTAAACAGGAAGGTTTTAGGGGTGCTTCATGCATTATATTTTGAAATGGTATTAATAGAATGTTTTGTGTGAATATCTAGAAACATAATGGATGAATAGTGAGATAGATGCCGTAGGAAACTAGATCTGAAAAACAGCCTTGTGCCTTTGCAAAAATATGTGGCATCAGCTTCTGGCATCACCTTCATTTTCAGAATATGTTTGAGCTTGAACCTCAATAAAAAATTTCAATGACTACTAGCAACACTGAGAGGCAGTAAACCTCTGAATGCCAGTGCTAGCAGACAACATCCAGGGAAGGCCTTGGCCTCTGCGCCCTGTGTGTTTCCCCTCCAATGTAACTGGTTGGCCACCATATGAAACAGCATGCTGGACAAGACTGACCACTGGTTTGATCCAGCAGGGCTCTTTTTATATCCTTATGTTAAGAGTGCCAGATTTGAAGGGAAATTCCTTAGAGTGCCTTTTTGTATGTGCTTTGCATGTGGATGGTGTAGCGTAGATTGCACTCAACAGATACGATAGTATCTACACCAATCTTGATCCAGTTTTAGATGAACCAGCAAACATATCTTTGCAGCAGCCAGTTTAGAATTTGTGTGGCAGCAGCAAGTTCAGCAGTAAACTTCAGAGGACAGCGGAAAACAGGAGGGTCTGGCGAGATTTTGTCCATGGGGTCGCGAAGAGTCGGACTCGACTGTGTGACTGAACAACAACAAGCAAGTTGTCAAGTTCAAGTTTATTTTCATCAGCCATTGGCCATAAGAGTAGAAAAGATGAACAGGAATTACATAAAAGAGAGAAAATTTTCAACCCAGCAATCCACAACAGCATGGGATTTTGACAAGAAGGCATAGTGTGCTGACCAGTGTTCCCTCTAAGCTGCATTAGTGTGAGCTAGCTCACAGTTTTTTAGCCTCCGGCTCACACATTTTTGTCTTAGCTCAGGAAGGATGGCTCCAGAGCAAACTAATGTATGCAGTGGCCAAATCGCTCACTCTCAACTTCAATACCAGTAGCTCACAAAGTAGAATTTTTGCTCACAAGACTCCACAGCTTAGAGGGAACATTGGTGCTGACTGAGCTGTTACTTCCTGTCAAGTTTTGAAGGTCAGATAAACTTTCTTTGCCTATTAACATCTGAAGAAAAAATTATTTCCAAATTATTTATGAATAGGATATTTGAATAAATAGTGAACGAGATCCTCAGCTTCTCTGCCATATAAGGTAAGGCAAGTGTAAGCAAATCAGACTTTCTGCTTCCCAGAGTAGCAAAATCTGTTCGGAAGATTTTTTTCTTTCAAGCTAAGAGGGGGGAAAATCTCCATTTTGGGCCATCTGGATTGGACCCTGTTAACAGGATCCTGTTTGGGAGCAGGGCCGGATTAAGGCCAACTGATGTCCTAAGCACAGCCCAACAGTGGTGCCCCCCAGCCCTTCCATTGATTCACTGACAAGACATTAAGACTCAATAAGTGCTCACCATGCCAAAGAAAACTTTTTTAACAATGCAGACTAAAGTTGAACATGGCAGATAAGGACAATTACAAAAAAAATGACTGAATTTGAGTGTGGCAGTGAAAAAGTTAAGGCCATGATAACTAGGAGAAAAACCTCTGTGGTGCCTCCCTTCCCTGAATGCCCTAAGCACGTGTTTATTTTGCTTAACAGTTAATCCAGGACTGCTTGGGACTGAAGATTTGAGAATAATTGTCCACTAAATAAATGGTTATAAGCACTTGAAATAAGTCCACTATACTGAAACAGATTGATGTGCATCAATGGTAACCTGATAGTTGCACTATCCATTTTTCCTTTGCAGTTTCTGAAGATTTCCACCCATTTAAGACAGAACACTTCAGTGTCATATGATTACATCTGAGACATTATTTAATACTCAAATTCATTTTTATCTGTACAAAAATGCTTTTATTTCAATGTTATATTAATAAAATTGCAACTGTGGAGTTAAGGAGCACTGTCTGTTGCGGGGAGGGGAAGGGAAAGGAGTTTGTAAGCCGCTCTGAGACGCCTTTGGGTAGTGAAGGGCGGGGTATAACTCCTATCTCTTCTAATGAGCATGAGGGCACACTTGGCAGTCATTCATTCTCCCATGCATTTATCTTGATAGGATTAGATGACATGATTAGCTAACATTCCAGCAAACATCTCCAAGACAACCACACAGCCATTAGCTGAAATTATCTCTGACTTTATCTTGGAACGCAAAAGCTTGTTACGATCAGTATTGCTTCCCATCAAAAAATAAACAAGTGGGATCCTCGGTGAAGCTTTCAAAATGACAAAAATTTGCAGATAAACAGGTTGCTTACCTGTAACTGATGATCTTCAAGTGGTCATCTGTGCATTCACACCTCTGGGGATATACTGCGCCTGCGCTGACCCCAATCAGTATAATGGAAAGCAAAACGGATTTTCGCGCCCGCTCCCCGGTCACGTGCCAGGCTCCACTGCACATGACTAGGGGGAGGGCACAAGGATCCCGCAAGTTCCTTCTGACTGCTACCCTCAGTCTCCAAAGAAAGGACAGGACCGAAAGCAGAGGGGAAGGAGGGCAGGTGGTGTGAATGCACAGATGACCACTCGAAGATCATCAGTTACAGGTAAGCAACCTGTTTATCTTCTTCGTGGTCTCTGTGCATCACACCTCTGGGAGACTAGCAAGTAGACAAAAACTGGAAAAAGGGGGGGGGGGAGAAACTCAACCCAAGATAGGACTGCGAACCAAAGGGCTAAGCTAACAAAGTATATTATAAAAATACAAATATTTATTAGGGTGTACACATGTTAAAACATATACTGATAAAAATATCTAAGTATCAGACTTATAAAAACTTCTCAAATACTAATACATGTGATGGGTAAACACTTTCCTACTGACGACCAAATGCGTTTCGGCCCCTAAGGGCCTTCCTCAGTGGTCACAATTATCAATATAGTATAGACACACATTTATAGACCTGTATACAAGATCTTTAGTGCTCATATATTAAAACTTTTCCAGCAAGCCCCAACACAAAGTCCTTTGAGATGTGCACCCCATCCCCAAAGGGACGCGTCTGTGGTTAAAATGAGCATAGACTGGGATGGGTGGAACAGAGCTCCCACTAGGAGATTCACATGATCCATTCACCAGAGTAGGGAGTTCAGGACAGGCTGTGGGATGACTAGACGAAGATTGGGGATGACACTGTAGATGGAACCTCCTGACAAACCACAGCTGCAATGGTTGCATGCGTAGTCTGGCACAGACAATGACATTGGTGGTAGCTGCCATCAAGCCTAGCAGCCGCTGGACTTGCTTTACAGTGGCCATTCCCATATCGCATACACGATTCACTGGATTGACAATGTCTTCCGCTCTCTGAGGAGGGAGGAAGGCTTTGCATACGACAGAGTCCAGAATAGCTCCTATAAACTGCACTCTCGTGGCAGGGAGGAGCATAGACTTTTGTAAGTTCACCTTGATTCCCAAGGATTTTAAGACAGTCAAGGTTAGTTCGACATGGGTGAGCAAGGATGCTTCCGAGTCTGCCACTAGTAGCCAGTAGTCGATGTAGGGAAAAACCTGGATGCCCTTGAGGTGGAGGTGTGCCACTATGACCACCATGATTTTGTGAAGACCCGAGGGGTCGTGGACAGTCCAAACGGGAGGGCTTTGTATTGGAAATGTCTGTTGCCTACTGCAAAACGGAGGAAGATGCGGTGGGTAGGATGAATGGAGATGTGAAAGTAAGCGTCTTTAAGGTCCAAAGTCACCATCCATTTCCTCGGGCTTTCGGAGTGGAAGGATGGTCTGTAGCGTTGTAATCTGAAATTTTTTGTAGAGGACGAGGCAGTTTAGGTTTCTGAGGTCCATGATGGGATGGAGGCCTCCTTCCTTTTTCGGTACCGTGAAGTAACGAGAGTAAAAGCTCGTGTGATGTTGGGCTAATGGCACTGGTTCTATAGCATCATTTTGGAGAAGGGATTGAACCTCCTGTAAGAGGACGACAGAAGGAGGTGTCACAATGATGTGAGCAGTTGTAGGGATGTGGGAAAACTCTATAAGGTATCCCAACTCGATTATGGAAAGGACCCAGCGGTCCGACATGATGAGCCTCCAGGCCGAAAGGTAGAGAGCTAAACGAGTAGGGAACGATGGAATGGAGTTGGAGTCAAAGACTCTGTTTAGGAGTCTTGGGAGCTTTAGATCTAGATTGGGAGGCAGACAAGAACTTAGGCTTTCCCATATAAGGGCGAGATGAACTGCTCAATTATCTTTGCCAGTAAGACTCAGAAGGAGATTTTGACAAGGGTCTACAGGACCACTGTTTGGTCCAAAGTTTGCCTTTGCTATGTTTGGTGGTAGGTGAGACACCCAGACTACAGAATGTCTTGATGCTCTTATCCAGCTCTTGAAGCACAGTGTCTGTGGTAGAGCTGAAGAGGCTGTCACCTTCAAAGGGAAGATCTTCAACAATGGTTTTGGTATCTAGCTGTAAGGCCAAAGAGCATAGCCATGCATGCCAACGTAAAGTGACCGACGACTTGAGGGCCTTAGCTGCGGAGTCCAGCAAGTGTTTGGAGACATTAAGTTGGTGCTTAGCCAGAAGCATACCTTCCTTCTGTATCCGTTTAGCCTGATGACTGCTGTCACACGGGTAAGTAGAGAGAAGTTCTGATATTTGTTCCCATAGGGCAAACTGATAGCACCCCATGCAGGCCGCATAATTAGCAGCCTTAATCCCCATAGCTCCTATAGTGTAAAACTTTCTTCCGAAAGCGTCCAGTTTCCTTCCTTCTTTGTCTGAAGGAGTAGAGTGGCTGCTCTTGCCTTTAGCAGAAGAGGCCACGACTAATGAATTCGGCTTCGGATGGGTGAAGAGGAATTCAGCTCCCAACTCCTGGATCTTGTACATGTGATCCAATCTTTTATTGGAAATCTGGATGGAAGAAGGATAAGACCAGGGATCCTTGGCTGCTTTTAGGAGGACCGAGGTCATGGGGAGGGCGACCGATGCTGAGGTGTCCATCTGGACGATGTCGAAGACAGAGTCTGTGACAATCGGTGGCGGCTGGATGGTGGACAAAGTCAATTTATTACCCATACGTTTGACAAACTCCCTGTAAGATTTGACATCCTCTGATGGGGAAATAGGTAGATCGTCCTCGACCTGTTGCGGTGGGGATGGTTGCAATGGTGGGTGTGGACTCTCCTCGCCCGACTGGGAATCCGAAGGGCTGGAGTTCACCACCCGTCCTTCATGGTGGTGTAGTGGCGGAACGGCAGCGAGTCGAGTGAGCGAGCAGGGCTGGGCTGACGGAGCACGGAGGCGGGGCAACGCAGCAGGCCGGAGCCTATTGGACAGAGGCCCCAGCAGGGGCACGCGCTGACACGCCCTTCGCCCAAGCCCGTGGAATCACAAGCGACTGAAGGAAGATCTATGCCAGAAGACCTGCGCCAGGAAGTCGCCGCCACCAGATTGAAAATACCTCCTGCAGAGTGACTAAGAACAACAATGCCAAAGGGTGCCTGTTAGGTCAGTCTCTCCCCCCTTCATTGTATGTGTAGCCCTTAGGTAGGATGTATTGTATAATGTAATGTAAACCGCTCAGAGCCCTTAGGGGGTGAGTGGTATACAAATGGAATGTAAATAAATGTAAATAAATAAAAATGACATCTGGAGGATCGGCGTCGAAGGCAGTGGCTCTGTTGGTTCCGGGAATTGTTTCAGTGTCGATGACTGGAGGTTGGAACCTTTAGCGATCGGTCTTGATTGCAGTAGTTTAACGAATTCTGATGCTGAGGAAGGGTCTTGGTACCGGGAAATCCGTGAGGATGTGGATTGGCGATCCCACTCAACAGGGGGGCATGGGGGAAGCCATGACATCGATCCCGGGAAGGGATAAGCCCCATACAGATATTGCCATTGGCGTTGATCCCATGATGGGGGCTGGAACGACGTCAGAGATCGATCTCGATCGTTGAGCCCGAAGGATGGTGAGGGGACGACGGGATGGCTCCCTCGTTCCTAATGAAGGCTCTCAATACCGGGAGATCACAGTATCTGAGTCAAATCCAGCTCCGGATCGGAGTCGATGGATTGGTTAGAGCGAAACAAAGGTGACCGAAGTGCACCTTGTGATTGCCCTCGACTCAATGAGGCAAGCGAAGCGGCTCTAGACTGAGAGTCAGTCTCAGTTCAGTGAGGACTTGATGCTTTATTGAGAGAGCCTTTCTTGTGCATCTTATGCTTGCTGAGTCGAATGTCCTTGCCCGTCTTCCGGATCTTGGAAGGGTTATGGGCTTCGGACTGTTGCGCCTGAATCGGACGCTTGGGCACCAATTTTTTGGCGTCGATCAGGGCTGATGTCGAAGACAGAGCGGCCGCCGATTCTGATGCGGGCGTCGACATCAAAGCGTGACCAGGTGTGTCTTGTGATGAAGATGCCACCAGAGACAGCGCTGCTTCCATTAGCGCCACATGGAGTCTCGCTGCCCGATTCTTCCTGGTCTGTTTGGAGAACTTGGAACAGTGGGAGCAAGAGTCAACACAGTGTGATTCCCCGAGGCACAGGAGACAAAGAGAGTGTCCGTCGGAGGGGGCAATTTTTCTGCCACAAGTCCAGCACCGTTTGAAGAAACCCCACCTCGCGGCCATAGGCCGGAGGAAGGAGAAGAGAGTGTCTCCGTGGAGGTGGAGATAGTCCATACTGAAAAACTAAATAAATAAATAAATAAATAACTTTCCTTAACTAACTGAGGTAAGAAGAAAAAGAAGGCCTAAGCCAACCAACTTTACCGACCGAGGCATAGAGGTCCTACCAGCGCAGCAGTCAGAAGAGAACTGGCGGGATCCTCATGCCCTCCCCCTAGTCATGCGCAGTGGAGCCCAGCACATGACCAGGGAGTGGGCTCGAAAATCCCTTTTGCTTTCCATTATACCAATCGGGGTCGGCGCAGGCACACTATCCCCAGAGGTGTGATGCACAGAGACCACGAAGAAGATCAATAGGTACAAAAACTTGAGCTATGCCACAATTTGAAAGATCACAGAGTAATGCTCCCCCAAGAATCTTCACACATACACCCCTGTGCATCTAGCTGTTCTGCATTAAGTTAGGGAATATATGCATCTAGCTGTTCTGCATATGTAAGATAAAGTTTCTGCACATATATTCCCTAACTTAATGAGCAGCAGTACGCACACATGGCTGAAATCCCATGAGTTAGCTATTTGAATGGGGACTGGATTCAGTGCCCTTCCTCCCACTTGTCCACCAAACTACTTGCTTGTAGGATTCCTGTTGTTGTTGTTTTTAAATGGCCATTGTGTGCTCTCACTTGAATCTAAACTGTAAGTTTATATATGCGCACAGCAAAATTTGTGCAGTGTGTTATATGAGGCACTTACAGTAATTCTAGCTAACTCCCAGGGTCATCTTTTTCAAAAGCAAGTCTTTGCCTCTTGAGTGTTAGCTGTCATTCTTGTGGTATAGAAGGAGATTTAAGCAAGTAATTTTAGATTATTTTCAGGAATCCTTTGTATTTTATTAAATGTTAATTTAATCTATCACATCCTGTTTTTTGTTGCAGTTGTATGAAAAGGTTGCTCTTTTTCTTACAAATTTAGGTAAGTGATGACAAAAGTGATGCAGCATCTTTAATAGCATGTTTCACCTTCAGTTAGTAAATATTAACAGTTGTTTTAAAGAAATGCACAGATTGGCAGAGTTTCCTGTATATCTGTCCCTGGAATATTAATGGTGTACTTTTCAGCATCCTGCCCAGTTTGGCCATTCTGAACATGCCATGTTTTTGTTTCTTTCTGCTGATTCCTTGCTAAGGGGTCTATGCAGCATGTTGTGTATTTTATGTTTGTGTCCCAATCAGACCAGTTGTGCACTCAAGGAATAAGAAGCAAAGTCTTCCCCAAAGGGAAGGCAGTTTGGAATTAATCATCCAGTGTCTTGGAGCACATTCTGTCAGCGCAACTATTAAATGCAGTAGATGTGGTTCCATTCTATGAGACCAGAGTACATAAAAATACAAATGCATTCTTTGCTTGCTATCCAATAAAAAGCAAGAAGCATGTTCTCCTGCAAAGTGAAGACCGTTTCTTTCACTTCTTGCAAATTTGCAAAGCCAGTTGTAAAACAGAATAGAATTTAAAGCATTTCTCTAGCTTATTTGCAGTTAAAATTTGCCCAGTCCATTCCTAAAATTAAAGCTTTGATCCTACACTCATTTACTTGAAGTAAATCCCATTGAACCTAATGGGAACTCAGTGGTTTGGTTGAACTTTCAAGTGAACATGTGTGGGATTGGCCTGCAACATCAGCAGTCAAGTCTTTGCCACATGCTTGCTGTTCCCCCTAATCTGAGAGTTAATCAGTGTCTTGAAATCTGTTCTCCTTTCTTTCACAGAGCAGCCTCGTACTGAGTCTGAGTGGGAGAACAGCTTCACATTGAAAATGTTCCTTTTTCAATTTGTCAATCTGAACAGCTCTACCTTTTATATAGCATTCTTCCTTGGAAGGTAAGATTAAAAAATATGTATCCTCCCTGCCTGGAACACCGTAGAAAGTATCCAAAGAAGGAAAATGATATTACTGTTCAATCAAATACCAAGACCTTCAATAATATGTCTATTTTCAACCAAAGACAATTAAGTATGAGTAGCCTATGGCTCTAAAACCAAATGTGATTCAGCAGGGGACCAAATATGGCTCTTTTTAAAAGATGATGAAATCTTTTAAGTTGAGGTATGTTGGAGGTGTAGGTGAGATGCTGCAATAACCAGTATGTGGAAGGAATAGCAGGCAAAGATTTCTGTAATTTCTGCAGAAAGGAAGTTGTGAACAGACATTACAGGCAAACGTACTCAATATGATTACATCCCCATACTGAATATCAATCAACTAGTATAATGTATGTTGGAATACTGATGGATAGATGCAAGTGTGGTTAAAATGGCATATTTTTAGATTGACTACACAAGTGACATCTTCATGAACCTTTTCATTCTTAGTACACTTTTGCCTTAGCTGGGATTATTGTGTCAGAGCTTTCCCTGTTTGTGACCTGCTACAAAAGGGGTGATAATTTATCTTATGTTTGAAGATTTACAGGTCACCCTGGTGCCTACTTGAGGCTAATAAACAGATGGAGACTGGAAGAGGTGAGTGTTTTCTGCTATTAAGGAGGTGGTTCTGTACACTGTTGCAGTGTACCAAAACAAAATGTGAAAGTAACAGAACAGTGAAAACACCCAGTGCCAATGTGGTTTTCCTCAGCTGGACAGGGCTCCCAGCTGCAAACATCCCCCTGACCCATGCCACCAGGGCTTGGTTTTTTAATATATATATATATATTGGCAATATACCTTTGCAACACAAATTGTTGTAATGTTAAATTGTCAAAAAGCCTCCCGATGTCAGGGGAGGAAGTTGCTACTATGGGGACTGGGGCGAGGAAAATGACTGTCATGTGAGCAGAAGCAGGGAAATCCAAGCTTCCCCCCCACACACAGGTTTTTCTGCAATCTTTCCCAAAACTTCTCAGCAAAGCAGGTTTGTGAAAGATAGGGGAAAAGCTGTGGGAACCCCAGGAGGTGTGCAAATGCACCACAGTGTTGTGGGGAAGCAGGAAAACAACCATTTCCTAGGAACATTGAACCCTGGGCAAATAACCAGTCAATATAGCAACTTTTAACCATCTTCCTAGCCTCCAAAGGCAGTTTGTTTTTTTAAGCTTCAACATAGCAACTGAGAGAAGCAGGAATTTAATAATATGAGTGACACTGCTGACAAAGCTTTGCTCCTTGTAGGCATACTAGTTGCCCACTGATAGCGAGCAAACTCCCACCGGCGTTCCTCATCCCGCTGTGCTCATTCAGTGGAACAGCAGGGGATAGTGACATAACCACACTGAGTGACTCTCTAGGAATTCCCTTAAGCTCTGTGGTGCTTACAATAGAGATTGGAGGAATTCCTAAAATGTTGCTTGCTGCAGTGATGTAATTCTGGGTTTTCATTCAGAAGTGATGTCCCTGCATTGTTGTGTGACACTCCTCCTCTGCCTGTCCCTGTGGCAATCATCCTTAAAAGTCCCACCTCTCCTCCAGGGCTCTGAAGCAATCCTTGTGATTTAGGCCTTATGCAAATCCAAGTGATTGTCAGCCAATCAGAGTCCATGGAGTTCCACTGAATAGGAGGGGGTGAGCCAGCCTCAGTTTTAGAAGGATGAAGAAACCTTTTTTTTTTTTTAACTTTTGGATTGGGATTTTGTGGCTCTGGAAAGGAGTGGCAGCTTCGCAAAGTTTTTATTTGGCTTTTTAGTTAGAATATGGGGGTCATCTTACAGGGAAAAACTTATTTTAGTGGTACAAATAAGTACCCTTTTAAGAGCCTATCATTCCTAACTGGTGTGTGTGAGAGAGAAGAGCAGCCTTGGACCTATTGGGGTGCCCTGTCCAGAGAAAGGAGAATCAAATCTCCCTTCAAGGGTTATTTACTTTACTTGAGAGCCAGCTTTACTTTATATGTCTAAGTTATCCACACATCATATTTGCCATAATAAATACTTTATTTTCTCTTAAATAAACCTTTGTTGTTCATATCCGTCTGTGTCTTGTCTGTCAGGTCAAAAATCTAAGAAGCAGTGGTCTCTATTTACCTCACAAATAAGTACAGCCTTGATCTAGCAGATTTGCAAATAAGGGACCTTTAAGGAGCATATAATTTATATGCTACCAATGCTTATTTTAAAGCTTGTGTCCCCCTTTTTATTCAATTGTAGGTAGTTGGGGTATAAAGAATCTATAAGTCCACGGGAGAAGCCAGAGTGGGAGATGGGATACTGTTCAGCCCAGAAGATAGCTGCCTCACAGCTTCCCTACCCCCTCACCCCATAGTAATCACAGCCCCACACCCAAAAGCTCCCACCTATACCAGGTGCAGGCCTGGAACCCTTAATCCTTGCCTTCAATAGCCCAATCAGATAAAGACATAGTTTAGAGCAAGGTCCCCTTTTACTGCATGGGGAGATTTATATGGAAAGTTTTCTACCATGTAACCTCTATTAATTTTAGCAAGGGTTGTACAAAATCTCTACACAATCTCTAAACAAATGAACAGAAGATTTGCAGTACCAGTACTTTAAGGTGTTTGTTTATTTATTTATTAAATGTGTACCCTGCCTTTCTGTCCCATTAGGGTACCAAGATGGCTAACAATTAAAAAAGCATTATAAAAACACATCATAAAAACCATTAAAACTTAAACTAAAATAAATATATAAAAGCACAGGAAAACAGTAAGTAAAACATAGGGCAGGAAGGAGGGATCATTGAGGGAATGCTAGACAAAACAGAAAAGTCTTCATCTACTGGCAGAAGACATTGATAGAAGGGGACAGACTAATATCCCTGAGGAGGGAGTTCCATAATTTTGTTGCCACAACCAAGACCTTCTTTCAGGTTGCCATTTTGTAATCTCAGAAGGTGGGGGCACAAGAAGCAGGGCCTCAAAGTATGACAGTTATAGTCAGGTAGGTTTATATAGAAGTAGTTGTGTTGGTCCCAAGCCAAAGGCTAACACCAGTACATTGAACTGAACCAAGAAACAAACTGGGTGCCAGTGTAAATTGGCCAAGACTTGAATATTTTATGGTTCCTACAACCCATTCCAGTCAACATCCTGGCTGCAGCATTCTGTACCAACATCCCTAAAGATTTTTCAATGGCAGCCCCACATAAAGTGCCTTTCTAATAAATACTTGTATTTTTGTATATTATAAGTTTTAACTAGGTTTTTAATATTGGTCCTTCATTAGACAGATCTTTTCTGCCCAGGAAAGGCCACAGTTTAGCTAACTAGCCAAAAATGGTAAAATACACTCTTGGCCACAGCTGGCACCCTGCTTACCTAGCAGTAGGCTAGTGTCTAGCAGCATCCCCAAGCCATAGATGTGCTCTTTCTAATGGAGTGCAAGCCCACCAGAACAGATGACACCCTAAAACCCAGGTAAGAGTTTCCACTCCTGAATAACACTTTCATCTTTTTGGGATTAAGTTTCAGTTTATTCATCCAGCATCCAAACCTGCCTCCGGGCTGCAGTTCAGGGTTTCTACCCCTCCCTGGAATCTGCTGGAGGTGCAAGATAGTGCAGGTGTCATATTGGTGACAATGGAGCCTAGTTCTTCAGACAACGTCTGTACCTTAGTTTACTGTCCCTTGGCTGAGAGTACAAGAACACCTGAGAGTCTGTCTTTGCTGTTCTATTGTCTGTTTTTTTTTATTCTCTCACCTGATGTTGCAGTTGGGTGGTGGGTCAAACCTGCACAGAATTATGCTGCAGGCCCCATATTGGGAAGATCCTCAAAGCATTTCTGAATTTGGGAACTATATTTATGGAAGAGGACCACTGATTTGCAACACAGTTGTAGTAGAATTATGAGTTTTCATTCAAATACTAATATAAAAATATTAAAACTGTTTTGTTCTTTGAACCATTCTTTGCTTCCTCTCTCCAACAGTGCCACCCTAGTGGATGCCTTATAGATCTCTGTCTGCAGATGGGTATCATAATGGTGCTAAAGCAGACTTGGAACAACTTCATGGAACTGGGCTATCCGTATGTTAATAAGATATTACAAACACTGTTATTACTGTTGCTGTTGTTTGCTTAAAGAATGTATGAGAAAGCCTGCAAATATCTCTGGGCTGACATACCTTGGTTGCTTCCACATGAATTTTTTTCCACCTTTGCTTCCAACTGAAGTACTGTTTTGGAGAGCATCGAGATGACGCCATCCTTGAATTGTCCATTTTCCAGATTTGCCTCAGCATGTTTCCTCAAACCTGGTTTACTGTGATGTTTTATGAAAGAAGAAAGAAGACTGAGAGCATTAGCATACCATCTGGAGGGGGGAGTGTGCTTTTTTTTTTAAGTCCTGCCCACATCAGTGCCATTTTCCTTTTGTCAGCCCCCCCCCCCGCAGCCACCATTTTTACTTGATGTACTACTAGAGAACTTTCCTTTAAAATCAGTAATTGTTATAACACAATTACTTATTTTCTTAAAAGATCATACAGAGTTGTCTAGTGAAGTGACGAGAAGAACTGTAGAGAAAATGGTGACTGATGTAAGAAAGTGCAGAAAACTCCATGTGGATGCTCTATTGTCAATGGAAATTGCCTTTACATTTACAGTGGCAGTGAATGCAGCCGAGAGACTCCTCACCATGCAGAGGCAGCCCTTGATAATGCCTAATATTTGTTTGAGGCTCATTAGAATCATGAGCATGATACCAGTCTATAGCATGATTATTATACAAAGGAAACAGTATAGGAAGTAAACCATTCCAATTCCTTGGTTAGATTTAATTGGTTAAAGTGCATTGTTTTCTATTCTTTGTTGCATGTCAGGGAATACTTTGGCTTATGTTATTTCTGACTATACATACGTATATAATACATACATTTTATGTATATATATTATAGGCAGTCTCTGAGGAGGGGAGGGGTAGCTAATCTGTGCATCAAGCAAAGTGATACCCAAAATTGCAGGGCAATCTGAGAAGTGGATCCTTGGAAGTAGAATGGACTCATTAACACTCTGCTCTCCTGCTCTGGGAATAGGGGTATGGCATGGGTGAGGCTGGCAATGTTTGCATCAACTGGACTGGGAAACAAACATTAAAAAAAATTAAACATGCAGGTTAATTCAAAATTGGTGGACCAGAAGAAGAGTGCGACATGAGCATGGCTCCCAGCGAAAAGCTAACTTCCCACAGTGGGAGAAGGACTACAACCTGCAGCCTATGAATGCCTACGGACTCTTTGATGAATACCTAGAAATGAGTATGAAAACCTCTTCATTTAATTTGCTTTATGACAAGGCAATTCATACATAATTTGTCATTGTCCCCCCACCCCCGAGAGCTGAACTGTTTAGTGGGGCTTTGCTGCATGACTGTAGAATGGTTTTTGGGGCAAAGACAAAGACTATTTAAGGTAGTCACCTGAATCTTGCCATGGTGATCCACGCACTGATCCTTCTTCCATATTGGATCCTATTCATACCAAAGGGTGCTGTATGGGAATAAACCATGTTCTGTCCTTGACATTAAACCATACTGTATCCTTGACATCCAGGACTGTAAAGCACACTGCTGAAACAGGTGCACTTGGCACTACCAATCAGAGAATGGCCACGGTCAGCTCTGACAGTGTCTAGGCCTTTCCTCTTCTCTAAGAGGTGAGCAGCAGAGTTAAAGCAGATGGTACTGGCTATTGCTTCGTAAGAGAGATCCTTGTATCTGCAGGGGTTAGCAGAAGGAAAGTTGGGATTGACCAGTCACTCCCCAAGCAATTGAAAGTACCTCTCTACCCTTCCTTCAATGCTGCTGTAATCACTTGCTTATCATTCCCTTTAAAGCTACTGCAGAAGCATCTCTCCTTTTCCTCTTGTGCAAAAAAGGAGGTGGCACACACATGCATGTCCCTTTGCTATGGATGGGGAAGTGACAGCACCAGTATCCTTCCCCAGCCACCTTTCCTCCCCCTTCATGTGCACATACACAAACCCTAGAAAGAAGCATCCTGTTGACTCAGTCCCCTTGCATGAAAGCTGCTGTTTGCCTCCTTTACACAAAATGTAGAGGTAATTTTATATTTGTTCCCCTGTAGGGCAAGTTACAAATGGGGGGGGTATGCTTTGGGGGAACAGCAGAGGAAGGCTTCCCCACTCAAGCACTGCAGACCTGCTGTACTTTTTGTACGAGCATCCACTTTGCCGCTAGTTTTGTCCATTGAGCCACCAAGCAGCCATTTTGTGACTGGCAGCTCTCGAGGCTCTTGCAAATTAAGCGGCACCTAGAAACATAACGTCTGCCCTCCCCTGGTGTACAGCACTGTGTGTGCTCTGATTTCTATATTAGAGCAATTATTTCTAACAGTAAAGCATGGGAGTTTCCCTTCTTTCTTTGAGAGAAGTGATAAATTCAGAATTTCTGGCTGGCTTCACTTCATTTTACCCCCTCCTTCAATTTCCTTCCCCCCCCCCCAAAGAGCTTCATTATAATTCCTTGTACTTTGAACAGCTATTAACATGCTACTGGCAGATGAAGTAAACGTTCTCTTGATGCATGGCACTTCAGTGGTATCCCCAGACATATTTATGCTAACATTTACAAAGTAAAATGCACAAAATAAATTGCATCTAAGAAATGTTTCTCACACCCTAGGAGTGAAGTCTAACAAAAAAAAGTCAATACCAAATGTGAAACTGTAGACTTTTCTGCATAGAGCTGCATTAAAGGAATAAATTCTACAAAAGTCTATAAAGGGCATGAGAACTGCATGTTACCAAACCTTTTGAAAACCTGGCTTTAGATCTCCCAGAGTTTTTCTGTGGGCAGAAGAATTTTCATTTGTGGAGTACAACTTTCTTGCCTCCCCTCTCCTGCAGCAGCCTGAAAGACCTTCCAGAATCCTGTTCTTGCAAGATCTTGAAATATTCTCTGTGTTAATCTGGATTGCACTTTGTAGCAAACTGGGATGCAAGTTAATCAACCAGCTGTTTGAAACAACAAGTTGGCAAATGTGCAAGTGCATTTGTTTTCAAACAATTGGGGGGGGAAAGAATGAATAAAGCCACATTGTCCTATTGAAGGGCTTGCCTGGGTGAACTACTCAGAAGCAGGTGCAGTAGCATATTGGTGGGCTAGGGTATGCACAAATAAATTCACTTTTCAGTTGGAAACATGGACTTCCATTTGTTCACTGTATCATTTAGTGTCTTTTTCCTGTGCTGATCTTCAGGTCTAAGCACTAAAAACATTGAAAGAGCAGTGCAGGAACAAAGCTGTTGACGTGAGAAACATCCAGGGGAAAACTAAAATGAACAAGAAGTAGCCAAGAGTGATGGTGCAGAAAGAGCCTATTTTGGATTGTTTTTCCAGCTTATCATTACATAGTGTCATTTTCCTCCCCTCCCAGTTCTTCAGTTTGGATTCACAACTATATTTGTGGCAGCTTTCCCACTTGCTCCACTTCTGGCTTTACTTAACAATATTATTGAAATCCGTCTTGATGCGTACAAATTTGTCACACAGTGGAGACGGCCATTAGCTTCAAGAGCCAAAGATATAGGTAAGCGGTTGTATTAAATGTGTGCTCAAGAATACACTCTTTTCAGATATTTCCACAACAAATAGGAAGCTGAAGCGTGTAGCCCAAGATACTCAGTCTACTAAGAAAAGTCCAAAAATTGAACACTTATTAATTTCAAAACCAGGGACATGAAATTTACCTCCTAACGGCAGTCCACTGTACAAAGAAAGCCAATGCATATTTGGGACAGAATGCTGTACAAACCAGCTTCTTGTAGAAGGAAATAGGACATCCCACGCCACCCAGGAACAACATTCTGAAAATGGGGCACACACACAACATATGTGGCGATTCCCTTTTACACATAACAGTCCTCATGTTGGGAAGATTCACAGTGACAGCCAGGAGTGGTTATGTGCTTTACAAAACCCAAGCTGTGTGTATTTATTTAGGTACACTTGGGCTTTGCTCATTCACTGGAGTATCAAATAGTTGAAGTACTTCCTTAGCTGATAGGATGCTGATTATTGGTACACAAGTCAACCAATACGTCCTGGTTATTAGAAACATCTGAATACAGGGCTTTTTTTATGCCTCTCATTTAAAATTGAAGACTTGAATTGTCTCTTGTAATAGGGACCAACATTCCAGCAGAGAGCTAGGCCAAGTCACAGATAACAGTGGAATGGAGGAGTTTGGGGGGGTTTCCTTTACATACCTCAACTAACCTTGGAGAAGAGAAGGATCTGTATTGGCAGCCAAGAATGTACTTAAACTGCACAAGCTTAGCAACACAGACAACATGTTGTTGTTTTGTTTGCAAGTAATGTTTAAACCTGTATTTGCATTTCTCAGATTTGTAAGATGAATGTAAACATTTGAAAATAACCACCTGCAACTTTATTTGCTTAATTAACAACTTTGACAACGGATGTATCTTACATTCTTTTTTTCTTCTGCTAACCAATTAACCTCACTCTGGCTGAGTTCAGACTGGCAGTTTGGCCCGATATAGGCATGTTTCACAAATGGATTAAAGGGGCCGGTTCACACAGCCACAGCTGTCAGGTGTTCCCCAGCCGTACTCAACCTGTCCTATGACAATTCCCCACCACGTTAAAAAAGTACCAGGTGAAAGCAGTAGCAAAGCCCTGGAGGGCGCGTTGATCCCACTTCCTGGATGTGTGCACGCTAAAAGCCGCAAACAAGCCACATTGCTGCGCCTATGCACATAGGCGTGTGTTGCCGGAGTGAAAAACAGCCACTTACAGCTGCGCCTCCACCAGGGGTAGGCCAACAGTGCGAATGCTCCCTTGCGCCTCCTCCCCAGTATGCTCCTGCATCAGTAGGTACAGTGTGACCAGGAATCCTCGGCACAACTTAGTCCGGGTCTTTTTGCCCCGCCTCCCTCACGCTTCATACTGCCAGTCTGTCCTCAGCCGCTGTAGAGCTAGAGGGCACCCCATCCCACAGAATCGCAAGAGTTCAATTGTGCTCCAATATATCTGTTAGTCAAAAGCTTTGTTGCCATTTTGGCAATGACAGGAAGACTGGGAGGGCTCTGTTGCCTATGGAGAAAGAACTTCACATTGAACAACAGGCAAGGTGTACCTTCTCTTTGGGGATGAATCAGTATGATGCATGATCCTCAGATCAGTGGCAGAATAGCATGACCACTTACACCAAAACAGCGGATAGCAACTGTAGTATTAAATACTTATTTACCTTTGTGCTACTTCTTACATTAGCGCTCCTGGAGCTAACACATCATTTTTCTTCATTTCACAGGAATCTGGTATGGAATTCTAGAAGGCATTGGAATTCTTTCTGTTATTACAAACGCATTTGTCATAGCTGTAACTTCAGATTTTATCCCCCGGCTCGTTTATGCTTACAAATATGGACCATGTGCAGGCCAAGGGGAGGCTGGACAAAAGTAAGCTTTCATTTTTGAAAACATGCTCTCAAATCATCCAAGTTTCTATCTTCAGCATGACTTCTTATGTTAGCATCTGTACGGATTTGTCCTCTTTGCCATACTCCTGTTATGCCTCTAGGTACATAACCAGGGCAAATAGATCTCATTTTGCCAAGATCATCTCTGCCTTTGCTACAGAAATGGAAGAATATTGGCTGTAGCAAGCTGTGTACTTGGACTATGATGATCAGACACAATGCAACAGCACACATTATTCCTTAATTACAACCTTCTGGTTGTCTTTCATGGCAGTGTGGGTTCTAAGAGCTCCCGCCTTAAATGGAATGCATCCGGGCAATGACACACACAAATACCTATAAAGTTATGTTTTGACAAAGTGATGAAGCTGCTTTTACAAATTTGGTAGAAGCACTGAGACTTGCGCAATGTGTACCTCTCAAGAAGTAGGACTTGAGAGGCCAAAGAGTTACAGCAAGAGGGTGAAGAATGGCTTATAGTAACCTATCCAATCAGCTTTCAAAAAGAGTCCCAAATACTTAGGTAAGGGTCACAAACATCAGGGCAGCCTCTAATCCAAAAGGTAAATATAAAAGTTAAAAGGTAAATATAAGGGAATGAGCTATGAACGGATGGAGGCATGTAACATGTGGCAGGAACAGATAAACCATTGTAGGTACACTCAAGGAGGAAACCAGGGGAAGATTACAATCTGGGACTGATTCTGGTTTCAGTTATAGGACTGGGGCATGAATGAAAACAAAATATCCCCTTTCCTGGAACTTGGAGAAAAGATCCAGATGAGCTGTGCTTCCTCACAGAAGGATGGTGAG